CCCCAAAACCCCAAAACCCCAAAACCCCATGGAATTTAAAATTTAAATGAAACAGTAATCTTCAATAGATTTAAATCCAAGAATAATAACCAAGCTTGAGACTATATAAGACCTATTTTGGCTTTTAATTAAATTATTAAAATTCGATACTTGTATTCTTTGAAAGATTTCTATTTCTATGAGAAAGTCCTTGACACTTGCAGCAAAACTATCATCTATGTCAAAATCTTAGGGTCATTGTTAATCATTCTTAAGAAACATTGAGAAAGAACCTGCCTCTCAAATGCTGGTAGAAGAGTTGAAATAATTAGACTTAAGAAATTTGGGTATATTAAACGTTCTTGACCCCTATTATTTCAAAAAAGAGGGGATTACTAAGGTGGAAATTGAAAGAACAGAAGATTACAGAGTCGTGATGTTTTGTCTTCCTAAAGGCACAAAGATGTACTTGCATGATCATCCAAACATGGCTATCTACTTCTAATAGATCTTTGGCACAATGAAGATAAGGTGTCTAGACAAGATAAATGAGAAATTTTAATACAATGAAATTTCTAATGACGAACTCCTTGAATTAACAAGTTCTTCAAAGATCATCTCAGCTAAAGTTTCCTTCAACTAAGTGATGAAAGCCAGAGCCTCTTAAGTTATACTCCCTAATAGATACAACTGTCATGAGATGATTGCTTTGGAGAATAGTTGCTTTATTGATTACCAGATACCTGGCTACAGTGCTATCTCAGCTAGCAGAAAAATTTCATATTTTGAAGAGATTAAACTTTAAAATCTTCCCAATCTCAGCAAAGCTGATTTCGCTGATAACACTCTTGATTGCTCCAATTCAGTTCCAGAAAATTTCACTCTACTCAAATACGAGGGAAATTCTACCTAGCCTCCTAATGATTTCATTATAAACGAAGCACTTTTCAGAGGTGTCTATCAATGAGGGAAAGAACTTAATTGGAATATTGCTTATAATCTTAGGAAGATCATCTTGAACATTGCGAGAGTGACTATGAATCTATTTATTTATTGTTAATACAGAGATATTAAAGTTTTAAACTAAAACTTCATTAAAAATAAGTAAAACTCTTAACTAACTATAATCATCTCTCTCCCTTTTTAATAAACTTCAAGTCATAGGTCTCATTTTTATCTCTCTACAGCAACAATCAAATTTTTGACAGGTGGAGTTTTATAATATTTAATTTTCAGACAATATAATCAATTTATTAAGACTAAATTAATTTTTATAGTTTTGTTTAAATTTATCTGATGGGGTTTTGGGGTTTTGGGGTTTTGGGG